TCTTTGAAGTATGGTTTTCTTAACTTTCCTACTAACGAATATAAATCCTTAACTCAAAAACTGTTAATGCAAATAAATATACCTCAAATTCTATTTCAACTTTCATTTTTAAATATTTACAAAATTAATTTTAACACTTTTTAACATCACCCTTTGAATTAATGATCAAAAAGTATTAATACATAAAGTAATCATAATTATTATAATGAATTAAATTATTTTTATTCATTTTCTGTTATTCTACTTTTAATGATTGATTTTTAAGTTTTTACTTTATTTTTACTCTACTATTAATAAAATTTAATAGTCAATTCTTCTTCCAAAAATAAAGAAAGGGAAATTAGAAAAAATTGTTTTGAGTTTGATTTTTACTATTTACTAACTAATTTTGCCACTTAGTGATAATACTTATTTTCTAATTAATTTATAGATATATTTATATTATATATATTAATGTAGATGTATTTATAATACTTAAAATGCCCTTTTTGTCAATTACACATAGGAGAAGCCAAAACTAGAGCAAAAACAAAAATAAGAGAAAGAGAAGGGGCTGGTGTAAGACTTCTTAAACAATTCATTCTTCTAGTCGATAAAGTTAATAAAAAATATTATTTATATTATTCATCGAGTTATAATGTTGATCATTTAAATGAGTACAATTTCACTCCGTAATAGATTTGAAATAAGTATGTGCGTTTTGAATATTATATGTAATTAGAAAAATTGATGAAGGAATTATAAATTATTTAGGTAGAAATAAAAGGAGGACTGAGTATAAAAATAATGAAGAGTTGAAATGAAAAAAGAAAAAATTAATGAATGATGTAAAATAAGAATGGCTTGTATCGAGTATTGTACTATGTAAAATTGAGGAAGTCATAGAAGTATGAATCAAATTATTTTAGCCAAATGAGAAGATCGATTTTATGTTTTCCATAAGAAAATTATAAACCTACAATTAGATGCTAATTATGAAATATTCTTTTTATTTTTTGTTAAATAATAATCTTATTTTTAACATATCTATCACTTGTTTTTTATATTATTTGGCTATCTACTAACAATAAAACAACAAAAATTGGATTAAAGAAAATGCACAGAATTTGTGATATTTTTAGTTTATTTTCAATCCTTATATTACTAATTAAAAATTTTATCTTAGAGGTAGAAAAATAAAGCATTCAACATTTATTACTAAGATAAATATTTATTTTAAATGTAAACATCTAAGAATCTGAATTCGAATTATTAGTCTAAAAGTATTACAATAGTTTCATTATTTGTCTTTTAATTAAATTACTTTTTAATAGATAGGCAATATCACAAAAATACATACTTTGTATAGTAAAAGAGACTCTAACTCTTAATTTTAAAAGTATATCTCTTTTTCGATGTGGATTAAGATAATTTATCAATTAAGTTCTATAATATTTTAGTAATGTCTCAATTAAACCCAATTTTTTTCATACTTATTTTCTCAAATTTTAATTAAATTTCTATGACATATTATTGAAATAATTAATGGGGTCTTTACAATTAAAAAAAATCTTACCCAATCCTCAGGTTAACAACCTGGTAAAAATTGTAATTATAGGAATAGCAAAGTATTAAACTGTAAGATTTTATCAGAAAGCTGAAGATTTTTGTTGATTAATAATTAAATTATTATTCTCCATAATAAACAAATTTACTTTAAGGAACTCATATTTAAATCAATAAGAAATTATTTTAATATTTAATAATTTATATTAAACATTTTGAAAAGTATTAATACAAATAACAAAATCATATAAACTAAAAGTCACTCTTTTAAATATGATTACACTCGTAAATATATTAGTAAATGGTATTTTTTAAATTATTCAACAATTAAATCATAGAATTGAACATTTCTTTCTTTTTCAAAGCAACCAAATTATCTCTATTCCAAACTATTTCTGATTTTAAAATTTATCTATTTAAAATATTATAGAGAATCAAATATTAGTAACAGATTCGCAAATCCAGAAATAAATAACTCCAATTTGATAATTTATAAATGATTAAAGTATTTTATTTAACTCATTGATTAAATTGATTTTTTAATTGGTGTTGTTTTTTAATTGATTCATAAATAAAATTATTTTAACTATTTTTAATTATATAATAATATTAGGGTTTTAGTGTTAAAAATAAGAGTTAGTTTTTTTTTTCACTTTATGTGATTAAATTCCACATTTAGTTTTATCTTAGGTGATCGAGTTAAAAAATTAACGCTATATGAGTGTAAAAAATTATTTTTAGATTATACGATTTTACAGTATAATTATCACTAATTAAATTACCAATAGATAATTTAGAATAACTATACACTAATGTATATTTGATGAAATTCTTATTTTATTTATTTAAAGTAAACTTGTATGCTGTATTAATTTTGATGCCAAAAGAAGTATTCGTTAATAAACTTTTCTTGGAAAAAAAGTTTAGTTTCTTTTTATTTAAATAATTTTACTTTTTTTATATGTATAAACACTCAATCCAATCACAATAAATTTTAATATTTAATTAAATGTTAGAAGTCAAAATGATAGAAAGTCTAACAGAATTTTATTGTTAAAACAAACATGACGAACCAATTCATTTGGTTGTGCTTGATCCTAAGCTAGACAAAAAACAAAGACTTTTGTGCAATAAATGCATGGAAAGCTTCTAATCAGATGCAAAGACTATAGGATTTAAAAAAGTAATTTAGATTATTGAGGAAATTATTGATAAAAATATGAATAACTTAGAAAATATTACATAGAAAACAATTCAATAATTATAAATTTGCATAAAAAGTTTAGAAGGATTAAAGACATAATTTATCAATTTATTTGATTCTATAATTAGTATATCTTAAAATTGGACTCAAAATTTGTTGACATAAAGATAATAATATAATTAATACAGTTTTTATGATGAATTAGATTCGTTTATTAAGAACTAGAATACTAATTATGTTTCAAATATGACTCTTATCAATAATATAAATAAATCTTGGATGACTAAACTATCTTAGACCTTAAATTAATTTATTCAAGATTAAAATAAAGTTAGCTTTGAAGATATAAAAGAGAAATTTCTAAACATCATTTATTCAAATTTACCATAAAAAGGTTAAATCAAATTAAAATTAATTGGTCAATCTGTCAAGTAAAGTGTGAGATGTAACGATATAGTTTTTGATTCTTCTGGGTCAATTATGTTATCAACTGAAAAAAATGATATTAAAGTATGGAAGTTTTTAAATGGAACCATCACATTTATAAATAATTTGATAGGACATACTGATTGGATTCAATGTTTAGTTTATAGTAAGAAATAGAATTCTTTTATTTCAGGTTCTGGAGACACAACAATAAGATGCTGGAAATAGATAGATTAAACTAATTGGATTAGTTCGTAACCTTATTAAGAACATACACGTTTTGTTAGATGTATTATATTAAATTCAAATGAGGATATATTATTTTCTGGTGGTGATGATGAATCAATTAAAGTATGGAAGGTTGATTTTAAATAAAATAAATTGACTTACATGTATTCATTAGATAAACATGATAGTTATGTTATGGCATTAAGTTTAAATTAATCAGAAACATAATTAGTATCATGTGCATATGCTAAGAATTAGATTATAATTTGGGAAAGAGAAGAATAAGATAAGTTTGAATTCAAATATGTTGTTATAATAATTATCAGTCACTTCATCTATAAATAGTCAATTTAAGAATACGGGCTTAAGATTAAATTTATTAAAGATAATTAATTTATTTGGATAACTGGTGGTAAAGAAATAGATAAACTCTATGTATTTGAATTAAAAGAAGGAGTCTTTTAAGAAAATTAGGAGAAGACAATTCAATTAATTACAAATAATGAGAAAGTTGATGAATATCGTTTTCCAATAATTTACAATAAGGAGAGGAATTTAATTGTAGTAAGACATAAAACCTATATTTATATCATTAGAGAAATAAATAATGGTAAGTTCAAAATAGTTGAGTAATTGAATTGCGAAACAAAAGCTATTTAAGGAACCATTACAAACAATGGATAATATTTGGTCTTTTGGGATGAAAAAACCCAAGGATATTCAATATATGAATTATTAAATAAATGAATAATTATGATATAATATATAAATAATTTCTTTTCCTATTTTATAAGGAATCCATAAAAAAATTAGTAGTCATACATAAATTGGAATGGAAATTTTAATTCTAGATAACTAATTTTTTTGGTCTTCATTTTTAGCTTCTTTAGAAAAATGAGTAGATCAGAAATCAAATTTAAAGTATGAAATTATTTTAAATCTCAAATAATGAATGATAAAAAATTCAATACCTTAATGATATACTATGATTGAATAAAATTGTAAACTTTATTTTAATCAAAAATAATTAAAAGAAATTTAAGCGATTAAGAAATTTTCATAATGATAATGTTGTTTAAGATGACATCAAAGAATTGATTTTTTGTAAAAGTGTAGTATAGATTTTTGAAGATAGCTTAAACATCTCTCTTCTTCAATTTAAAAAATTAATAATTCAAAATAGTGGAGGAGAATTCTGAAATTCATATATATATTAGAAATAGTTAGAGCAGTAGAAGCTATTTCATGCTTACATGAAAGATGTATACAGCAAACAAAATTAGGCTTAGAGTAAAATGAGGAAAATTAAGATAGAAATTACTTGAAATTGAAAACTAAGAAATCTAATAGAATCAAATATTAGAGTGTGTTTGCTAAATGAAGATAATAATTTACAAAGGCCCATTTATTTTGGATAGTTGCAAAAACAAAATTTAAAAATTCTGAGAACTTACTTTCAACTGACAAAGCTTCTAAGATATCATAAATTACTATTGGATTAAAAGAGATAGAATCATATACTAATCTGATTATACAAAGTAAATTAATGGATTTAAAACCATATCATTGTATAAATTCTCTAATATTTAATCCCATAATGAATCATAGCAACCTTTTTTATAAAGGAGTAAGANCACATTTATAAATAATTTGATAGGACATACTGATTGGATTCAATGTTTAGTTTATAGTAAGAAATAGAATTCTTTTATTTCAGGTTCTGGAGACACAACAATAAGATGCTGGAAATAGATAGATTAAACTAATTGGATTAGTTCGTAACCTTATTAAGAACATACACGTTTTGTTAGATGTATTATATTAAATTCAAATGAGGATATATTATTTTCTGGTGGTGATGATGAATCAATTAAAGTATGGAAGGTTGATTTTAAATAAAATAAATTGACTTACATGTATTCATTAGATAAACATGATAGTTATGTTATGGCATTAAGTTTAAATTAATCAGAAACATAATTAGTATCATGTGCATATGCTAAGAATTAGATTATAATTTGGGAAAGAGAAGAATAAGATAAGTTTGAATTCAAATATGTTGTTATAATAATTATCAGTCACTTCATCTATAAATAGTCAATTTAAGAATACGGGCTTAAGATTAAATTTATTAAAGATAATTAATTTATTTGGATAACTGGTGGTAAAGAAATAGACAAGCTCTATATATTTGAATTAAAAGAAGGAATTTATTAAGAAAATTAAAAGAAGACTATTCAATTAAATAAAAATAATTAGATATCTGATGAATATCATTTTCCAATAGTTTACAATAAGGAAAAGAATTTAATAGTACTCAGACATAAAGATTATATTTATTTTATTAAAGAAATAATAAATGGGATTTTCACGATAGTTCATTAATTTAATTGTGATACAAATCAAATTTTTGGAACTTTTACAAATAATGGATAATATTTGGTTTATTGGGATGAAAAAAATTAAGGATATTCAGTTTATGAATTATTAAATAAATGAATAATTATAATATAATTTATATATAATTTCTTAATTAAAAGTTAAAAATATTTGAGGATAATTTATATGGAATAATTGAATAATTTATATTATCAAAAATATATATTTAATTTTTTTTAAATTAATTAATTATAGATAACATAAATTACTACTTCAAAAATACTTGAAATCATATTTATCAATAGAAAACACTAGATTGGGCAGTTACTTTATTGTTCTGTTAAAATACTCCAAGAATTTATTAAGCTAGTCTTTTAATTTGCTTATACTTCTTAAAAAGAAACTTCCATTATTAAAAGCCATCAATCCCTAATTGAATGCATAATATAGACGACATAAAAAATATGCAACCCCATCCAAAATATTATCTGATCTCATATGAAAAATATAATAATTCAAAATCACAAGTCAGAATTGTAATACTCAATAATGTAAAAGAGATGCTAACTTCACTAAATAACTATTTAAAATACTCCAATTTATCTTCTAATGGATTAAATAAGATGTAAAATAGACTCATTGAGGTTGATAGAAGTGTAATACTGACAGTTTAAAAAATTGGAAACTCATATGCGAAAATTAATAATAACATAAAGATAAGTTTTTTAATTAGAAGAATAGCATTAAGATATTTGGAAAATTCATTAATCTTAATTCCATCAAAAATAGATCCATACTTAGTTTAGATAACATTATTATTAAAAGCATATTTCTTCATTTAAGATAGTTTGATTACAAAATAAATGCTAAAAACATATAGTGCACTTGCTACACAAGCTAATAATGAACTTAATCTGATAAACATATTTGGTGAATTAAGTTCTAAGGCATACAATTACAATACTAAGCTGAAAGTAAAATCATATGCAGTGGCCATATGAGCTCGTAAGATTCCACTATAGAAGAATTCTGAAATAATAGTAAAGCACAATCTATTTATAACATACTTAATAGTTAAATAGTATACTCCAAATTAGACACGCCAAGAATTTTCTGATTAAATCTCAGAATAAAATTTAAATTTAAATGAATATAGAATTTTAGGTATCACTTTTGCAAT